TGGGGAGAGAGAGGGGGGAAGAGAGGGGGGAGGGAGAGGTGGGGAGAGGTAGAGAAAGAGGTGGGGAGAGAGGGAGGAGGGAGAGGTGGGGAGGGAGAGGTGGGGGGGAGAGGTGGGGGGAGAGAGAGGGGGGGAGAGAGAGGGGGAAGGGAGAGGTGGGGAGAGAGAGGGGGAATGAGAGAGGGATATGAGAGAGAAGGGCAGGAGAGAGAGGGGGAGAGAGAGGGGTAAGAGAGAAAGAGAGAGAAAGGATGCCTGTGCGCGACGATCCTGATGCCAGAGTCTGGATCGGTCGCCGTGTCAGTAATGTGAAGAAGGTATATAGGCTTTCGTCTGACGTGACTGTGTGCCTCGTCTGATACACCCCCCTGTCCACCTTGTAAACCTGCGTGACTGTGTACCTACGTATGCATGTCTGTGAACTCGCCGGTCGCCGTGGCGCTAATAGATGGACGGATTCATGAACACAATTCATGAACACAAAACCCCAACAAGCCTCGTTAAGAACTCCCTCGTTTTCCTCTAGGCTCCCCAAACATCCACCCTACCCTCCCTTCCCACTCGTCCTTAGAGGCACTGACTAGAGCTTTCTCCTGCGTCCCGTTGCTGCTTTCCTTTGCTGCCACTGGCTACTGACCGCCTGCTGTTACCCTCTGCCTGCTGTTGTTGTTCCTGCTGCTGTTGCTGTTGTTGCTGTTGCTGCGGTGGTTGCTGCTGCTGTTGTTGCTGCTGCTGTTGTTCGCTGTTTCCCCCCTGCGAGAGGCAGGTTTTCCCCATGTTTGGCTTTGGGGGGCAGTACCAGCGCAACCCAACCAACCACTGCTTCCCGATGGGCACCCCCCCGGATAGCACCTGCATTGGTGTGGCGGGGCTACTGCAGGCTTACAGGTAAGGGGTAGGAGGTAGGAGGTAGGGTCAGATAAAGTGTGTGTGTGCAGTTCGTACTCGACGGGCTACATGTACCTGGTGGGATGTGGATGGGGACGTGGGTTGATGTGGCCGAAATGAGGTTGGTGACGTTTTGACCGATTTCTGGATTGATTGAAACGGTATGAAACGGTTGGTCGTTGGTGCGTGCGTTCTTTTCGCCGATGTATTCGTCGCTCAATAGTGATGCAGTACGTTTTATTGCAAGCGGAGTACATTTTGGTGCAAGATGAAGTGCAGATGCAGTTGGTTGTTGGTGGGGTGTTTGGGGCGCAAGCAACAACACGTCTCGAGGATGCGCGGGGAGAGTGAGTGTGTGAGTGAGTGAGTGAGTGTGTGTGTGTGTGTGTGTGTGTGTGAGTGTGTGCGTGAAGAGTACACAGCTGTTCGTTTATATAGTTTGAATTCTGCATGCCAATGCCAAGTCAGCAAGCAACGCTTGTGTGTCCAAAAACGCTGAGGTGATTCGGGATGTGCCTCCTCCCTCCCGGGGTTCACGTACACGCAAAACCGCAACGCAGTCCCCAGGCGGACTGGGGCCTGGTCCTCCCCACCCACCCACTCCGCCCAACTAACTGATCACCTTTCAGACAGACAGACATGTCTGCCAAACTACACATCAACCAATTACTTACCAATCTACCTACCTACCCAACGAAATAACTGCCCTCTGCATGTTGCCCCACCTACCGGCCCTCCCTGCCCTGCCTCACCACCACATCCTTATATTGCCTAATTAGGAACTCGCCCCGTGCCCCCGCTTCATTCAGGCACGCGCTGGGCACGTGGAAGCTTTCCGGTCCGACCCTCTTCGCGCCAGTGATCCGAATGGCGGCTGAACGCGCTCGCCTGACGGTGGCAGCCAGGCCGCCTGTGTACACGGTACTGCTAATCTTGACGGATGGCGCGATCATGGACATGACGGTAAGTGGCCTGGGCCTTGCGCGGGGCGGCGGAAGCCTTTTTTGCCTTTTAGCTACTTCCTTTGCGCGGGAAAAAGGAATATGAATTGCAATCCAGAGTGCCGTACCAGCTAAAGAATAAAGTCGATTGAAATGTTGTTTTGTTCTTATTACGCGACCTCGTTTGAATCGTTGAGGTCATGTTCTCTGTTGTCCTGTTGTGACTTTTGATGGCCTGGCTGGCTGCCTGGCTGCGTGGGTGGCTGGCTGGCTGGCTGGCTAGTGGTTTGGGAGAGTGCAAGTGACCTTGCGGGGAAGCATCATGAGGATGATGTGATCACGTATTTGGGTTTTGCTTTCCCGCGTGCATTGCATGAGTATGTATGTATGTATGCATGTATGTATGTATGTATGTGTATTCCCGCAGGATACGATTAATGCCATCATTGATGCCTCAACCCTACCGCTGTCCGTCCTCATTGTTGGCATCGGGCGGGATGACTTTGGCGATATGAATGTGCGCCTGGGCTGAGGGGAAATGCGGGGCCTTGGGGGGGGGACGGAGGGGGGTCCGGGAGGTGTATGTGTCTATGTGTGTCAATGTGTGTGTGTATGTATGAGGGACGTGTGAAGGAAACAGTCCATGGCAACGTTCTCCTTTGTGTTGGACCAGCGCATGTTGGCCGGGGACGTAGCATGGCTCTCTTGAAGGTTCGGATCCTCATGACGATGGCTCTTGGCCTAACCACACAGAAAAGTTAACAGTGTCATCCCCGCACTTGAGAAGATCCGAACCAACCCAGCAAACGAAGATGCTCGTCCGCCTGATGACGTGTCTGTCCGCATGCCGTGCACGCGCAGAAACTGGATGGCGACCGCACGCGCCTTTCAAGCGGCAACCGTACCGCGGTTCGGGACATTGTGCAATTTGTGGAGTTTTACAAGTACCAGGGTGACGGCGTACGGCTGGCACAGGAGGTGCTGCGGGAGCTGCCCGTACAGCTACTCCAGTACATGAAGTAAGCCGTTTGGGGTTGGTGTCGCGTTGTTTTTACAAAGTACAAAGTGTTTTTGTGCATCTCTCGCGACCTCCCTCCTTCCACATGTAAAGGAGATGGCGCGGGGGGGGGATGTTTCCCCCTTCATCCCCCCGCGCCCGGACGACGCGTCAGGAAATACACATCGCGGTGTGCACACCACACGGCGCCTGTCCAGGGGCGTGGGTGAATCCTGTAAATTTAGCCCGCTTAAGTCTTTACACTCGGTGCAAGAAAGGGCCTCCTAAGTCCAGGCATGGCCGCCTAAGCCAAACGCTACGTTGTTTCAGAGGTCTCAGACGCTTGACAGGGCACTGTAAGGCTGTTGACGAAGATGGGGGGGGAAAGGACGAACCGCAAACGAGTGAAGCTGCTGCCAGGGCAAGAGTGTACCAGACGTAGAACTGACCGAAAGATGCGGGGGGGGCCCAAACGGTCCTCGGCTGGTCCAGACACGCGCTCTACGACAGCTCTTACTTGCCAGCTACACAGCAACAACAATATATGCAATACATGCAAAGTGCATGTGCCGTTCCTTTCTGCGGAATTTCTTGTTTTGTTTAGGAGCACTTGGCCCAGGGGATCGCTGTGCCAGGAGAGTACTTGACTACCCGCAGAGGCGGTGGTCGCTGATTTGAAAACAGCGACTTTTCCTGCAAACCTCTCCTCCGCCGCGTCCGTTCCCACCATCACCTTCGCTCCGCCCTCCTCTGTCCCCCACCCTTCCGCACTTCATACCTTCCCGGAATATAATCTCTCTGCTGAAAGCTCCCCTGCTGGTGTAAAACTTGGGTTCTGTAGGGCCAACAACATACAGTGCCCGCAACCTCTGAATGCGTTGCCTACTATGGCAATGGCAGCGCCGTCAGCGCCGCCAGCGCCGCCAGCCGCCGCCATCGGCCAGCAAGGGTTGCCGTACGGGGCTATGCCGCCGGCTGCTTTTGTTGCGGACGGGAGTGTTCTCCCTTGACGGTTTGTCCTGGTCGGTCGTCCATGCTCATGCTAGGAGGGCACAAGGTGAAGGTGGGTTAACGGAGCGAAAATTGCCTAGCGAAATGTCTGCGAGTGTACGTGTTTTTTTTATATATGTGTGCGCGCGCGTGTATGGTCCTAAGGTTACACAAGTATCTATCTGACCGGGCCTGACGACACTGGCCACAGAGGGACTGCTGCCCAGCCCCAACGGAAACACCGTGCGTGTATGTGTATGTATGTGTGTGTGTGTGTGTGTGTTGAGAACCACCCGGACTGAATTTGTTATCTATTACTCCTTGATACTCGTTGGTCTACGGCACCTTGGATGTACGGATGTACGGATGCCGGTACAGGGTCAAGTGCGGCATGGCGAGTTTGGGCAGCAAAGTAATAATGCTAAAGCGATGGTTGAGCTTTGGGTCACGGCCGTAGTACTTGTCTAGTACGAGACATCGTATTGTGTTATGCAAGTAGTACGATGTATGATGTTGTTACAGGGTGGTATAGCTTCGCCAGCGGCCCCCTTTCCCTTGGAGGCAGTTCCCTGCTCTCCCCTGCGAGAGGGGCACCCTAATCCATATTCACCCCATCCGACTTCAGAATGTATTCGTTGGGTTCTGCAACTCACCACCAGCATCCAACCAAATCTAGCGGATCAACTTTTTCTTCTCTTAGTGTGTTATGGGGGGAGGCGGAGGCGATCTGGATGCGGCTGTGTGTGTGTGCAGAGGCTCTCGCCGCGAGAAAATGGCGGTGTGCTGATGGTGTGTGCGCAGATGGATTCGGGGAAAGAGGGCTCCCCTTTGGGGGACCCTGGCGTCCTCAGTTTTCACCAGTCGAATGCCACAGAAAACATAGCAGCAGCAGCACCAGCACATCACCAGCAGCAGCCATGCGCCGCCTCGTCGTGATTTCTTTGCGTGTGTATGCTTTTACGCTCATGCACGCTCTGCGGGATGTGTCTTCCTCATCCTCCAGGCGTTCTGGAATTTGTGACTTCTTTTGTTTCATGACTCCGACCTTGATAATGGGGGAGCTTTTGATGATGGGGGGGGGCGTTTGATGATGGGGCCTTGCCTTGCTTTTGGCTTTCTGCGGGCCCGGCGGCTCTACCCCGAGCAGATGGACCGTTAGTCCTGCCGATGCCCTGCCAATGGTTCATCATCGTGCGGATTTTTCTTTTTCATGGTGGCGGTTTTCAAGTCCGAAGCGGAGTGTGGTGGGCTTGTGGCGTTTTGTAGTCAGCACACAGGCTTTTTTTCGTGGTTTCGATACCGCCCCGCGTCGTTGCGCTTTTCCTTCCTTCTCTTTCCTGTTGCCGCTACAGCTTATTACGTTTTTCTGTAGCAGCTGTAGCCGCTCTCCTTCGCCACTTGGATATGGTCCATACTGTCCATAGATAAAGCACTGTCGTCCTTGAAGGTGCGCGTTTGCTTATAGAAAAGCTTGCCCGAAAAGGGCGGCTAAGGGGATTTGCGGGGGTGCCAATCGCGGTGTCCTTACGGTTGCGTATTTGACGGTGTGTTTTCTAAGCAATATCGCACGACTGATTTTCAGGAAAACTTTGACCTGCGCCCGGACAGTCCGGCATGACAGTGGAAATTTTCGTGACGTGGTCCGTTATTTGTTACTGCGTATTAATGTGTGTGATGGTGCAATACGGGGGCCCAACAACCAACTGCAAAAGGGAAAAACAATCTCCGGAGGTGGAATCAGGCTCTCTCTGAAAGGTACTTTATTGACGGTATGGCGCGAGCCTCGACAAACAACGACAATGAGGTGTGTGTGTGTGTGTGTGTGTGTACACGCTGTGCGAAGGTTACAAGTATCTATCTGACAGGGCCTGATGACACTGGCCACAGAGGGGCTGCTGCCCAGCCCCAACGGAAACACCACCTAAGCTCTCTCCCGTCCGCGGGAGAGAGGCGCGTGTGTGCGCGCTGGTCCCTGTTGGTGACCCTCCTATGTATTATATGTGCACACGCCTTAAGATTTTATGTTTCCGATTTCGTTGTGTGTGATAGATATGTGGTTGTGCAGATTCATCTCCTTCTGGCCATTTGCGCGGGCTCGGCGCAGTTAGTACTGCACAACCGTTTTCCAATGTCCATTCCAATCGAAGTTGTTGGCCGACGCGGGAATCGATCCGCGGTCCTAGCGCGGGGCACACGTGTTGTTGTGCGAGCAATTTTTCATTTCCTGGAACCAGCAGGAACGTGCCTGTGATGTTCTTTCTATCCTTTCTACGATGATATGAGATAAGAAGCTTTTCGGGGGCCTATCCCCATCCTCAAGAGACTCCATTTAAATGGATGATGTTACCACAGACTCGGCCGGTCCGAAAAACCGGTGTTCTTGCGTTGTGCTGCAGCCCGTGTAACCCCCAGCCAAGCACTTCATTATATAGACCATGAAATGCGTGAAGACTTGTTTGTTCCCTGTTCGTCCTCCTCTTGTTCTCGTTCCTCATTCGTTCAGCCAACAACGGTGCGCTACTTTATGGTACGGCAAAGGTACGACAAGCACAGTCCCACAGCCCCTCATGTCGCACCGTCCGACAATACGGTGTGCCAGCTCAGTGTAACTCAGTGATGAGAACGGTCCACCCTCTCGACGGACCCTTCAGGACACGGGGCCGGCGAGTTTGCTTAATTAGGCAAGTGCAACGACCCGTGGGTCAGTCCTCATCAAAATACTTTTCCTCCGCGTCCCGCGCCTCTTCCGCCAGCCAGTCCCCATCCAGAGACGCGTCCTTGTCAATGGTCTCATAATCCACATATTCCCCGTCCTGGCCAAACAGAAAGCGACTTTGCATCTCCGACAAAAAGTCGCGACGCATTTGCGCACGATCTGCGGCAGATGGCCGAGCCCGGCGCCGCGGCCGCGGCGCGGCTGCGGCACCCGCACCTCCCCCACCCTTCCCATCTCCCATGTCGTCACCGCCACCGTCTTGATCGTCCTCCTCCGACTCCGCTGAACGATCCTCCTCCTCGTCGCTTTCGTGCTCGGACATCTGTACGGACATTTGCGGAGTGTACGACACGGCATCCGGTTGGATGATCTTCTTGGATGGCGGGGAGGAGGGGAAGCGCCCTTCTGGAACAGGGGGCCCTTGCGCGACCCGTAACCGTCCAAGAGGTATCGTACTTAGCGCCATCAGCAAGCACACATCATCCATCATGCAGCCGTGAGCTTCGCAAGTTTCCTTCTTCTGCAATCTTCTTCCGGCCTCAAGCGGGCTGGACTCGGCTTTCAAAGCGCGCGCACTTGATAGGTAAAAGGGACGTCGTGGTAAGGAAAAGGTGCCAAAGATCAGAAAGGCATGCCTGGCAAGTTCTGTTCATCAGCAGTGCTGTAGGTGTGGCGTTATGAGCACCGTTGGCAATACTGTCCTGTAATGTCCACGGACACAACATACAGCATATAAACATAAAATGCGATACAAAGTATCGCCAGTATCCCTGGTAGGCTCGCCAGAAAGCCCACTGTAACAACCACACACAAAGTTGACCGACCGCGAACACGCACACCTGCTCGTCCTCTTCCTGCTGCTCCTGCAAACGCCGCATGACCAGCTGCGCCTCATCGTCTTGTCGCATCAAAAATTCGCTGAACAACAAGGTGCTGCTATTGCGCGCCGCCGCGGCGGCGGCGGCGGCGGCGGCGGCGGGACCGGCGCTAGCAGCGGCGGCAGCGGCTCCCTGACGGCGACTGCCGCCGCCACCGCCGCCGCCAGCACCCCTCATAACAGCTCCCGTACGGGCACTCGCTGCGCCCCTGCACCCGGGCAACGCCTCCTCCCCCCCCACCTCCATCTCATCACCGCCATGAACCTCCCCCCGTCCTCTGGACGCGCCCACGCCTCGACTCCCCCGGTATAATAGCCCCTCTGCCGCCGCAGCCGCCTCCGTTGCAAGTCGTCGCGATGTCGTCGTATCAGCCGCGCAGCCACCCGGGATGGCTCTGCCCGATGTGGCCGCATGGCCGCGTTCCGCACCCCCAGGCTCCCGCAGATCCACGCAGGTCACCAGAGCTCGCTGCAGGGCAGCCGCCAGGCAGCGACCGCCCAGGCCTCCCCCCGCTTCTGCGGCGGACGGACATACAGACACACACCGATATGATATCGAGGAAGGCAATGCAGGCGACAATTGTACGGCAAGCGGTTTAGGTACGGCAGTCGTGCGGATGTGTGTCTCTCTTGTTTTTGAGGCCTGATGATACAAAAATGCTGAGAGTCCGGTTTCGTATTTCATCTCCCCCCGCCCCCGCGCGTGCGTCTCGTCACATAGCGCCAATACACACCGTACTACATGTCGCAGGCGCGAGACGATACACGACGACGTGATGACGCCCCCAGGTGAATCTGGTTTTTGGCTATGGATGTGTATTTCTAGCACGCATGGCTTGGGTGTGAATGGATCCTCTTAACACCCTGAAGCACGTGAATCCATGCACGTGGCGTGCAACCCCCCCCCCACGCCCCGTCAAAGCTCTTTTCCCCCCTCCCCCGCCGGGCCTCCGGTCCAGCCTTCAGGTTGTCTCTCTTCCTGACCCGGCTCCCACCCTCTCGCCGTTGCCTTTGGCTTGACCCGGCTCCCGCCCTGCTTCTTCGGCTTGGGGACCCTGGTCCCTCCGTCCGCTCCCCAATACATGATGCTGGGTAGCCCAACACCACAAGCTGACACGGAGTTTCCCCCTCACCTTCCGCCGCTACCGAATTTAGATCGCCCCCTGCCGCCATGGCAGTTGAAGCCGCCTGCTCCGCTTTCCCTAGCTCCTCGCCCTCCTCCTCTTCCTCCTCTTCCTCCTCCTCCATCATTCCCCCCTCCGTCGCCGCAGCAGCTGCAGCTGCTGCCTCACGGCGCTGCTGCTCCAGTTCCTGCTGCTCCTCCTCGTCGAACCGGCCAATCTGTTGATAGTACAGCAGCGGTGCGCGGTGCCGCATCGCGTCATCGCTGAAGTACTCCCCCTGCGCGGCCAGCCGCCGCATGGCCGCCAGTCGGCGGTTCTTAACACGGGCGGGTAAGCGCCTAGCAGTAGCAGTAACAGTAGGATTAGCAGTAGTAGCCGCAGTAGAAATAACAGTAGCAGCAGTAGCAGTAGCAGCAGCAGGAGCAGTAGTAGCAGCGGCAGGAGCAGGAGAAGAGGCCAAGGGCAGTGGCGCAGTCAAATGAGTTCGGAAGAGGGACGATGGCGAGGGAGCAGAGGCGGCGGCACCCGCCCGGGGTGCTCAGTTCGATACCTGTCCTGGAGGGCTTCGAGGACCTTCTGAGGGGACTTGGTGCCGCTTCCGCGAGCAGCAGGTCGCAGCACAGCACCGGGGGTACCCCCTTCTCAATCTCTCTCTACCTACCTACCTACCTACTCACCTACCTACCTACCTACTCACCTACCAACCTACCTACCTATCTATCTAACTATCTATCTATTCTATCTATCTATTCTATTCTATCTATCTATCTATCTATCTATCTACACCCGTAGACGTGCTCAGAACCTTACCGGGGGTTGGCCGCCTGCTCAGCCGCCGCCATGCGTTGAGCCGCATAATAACTCAGCCAGTAGTTCACCTCAAAGTCGGCTGAGCGCAGCGCCTCGAAGTGGTTGAGCTCCTGGCTTTGGAGAAGGGCGCCATACCTGCCGGGCGAGCGGGGCGCGACGGAGGAAAATACACTCTTTTTACAGTTTTGCGGGAAGCACGTGCAAACGAGTGGCCGGAATAATGGGAGAGTTGAAAAGCGCCGAAAGCGCCGACTGCCAACTGTGGAGGTTGTTCGAGCAGAGCAGGAGGAGGTTGGGGAGGGAGAGGGTGTTGGGGTTTTCTTGAGGGGAGGTTGGTGAAACCTCTAGGAAAGGAAGACTGTCTTGGCGATACACCCTCCCCCCCTTTTAACCCATCGGACGGGTTGGTTTAACATGCACGAGCATGTAGTGAGGCTATAGTGGACGCAGGAAGGGTTGCGCAGACTGAGGGGATGCGGGCAATGCAGCGGGGCTCGAGGGGTGATAGACGGGGCACCCCCCCGGCGCGGGCAGCATCGGGGAGTGGATGGGGTTTTTGATGCATGCTGGACGTTCTCTAGGTCAAGCAAAACCCCAAGCCCTCAGGTCAGCGGAATGTAGTCTTTTCTGTAGTCCGAGACCTTGCGAGGAAGGCTGCAGGGTCCTTCTGGAGCAACGCCTGCAGGTATGCTAAGACGTCCGTTGCTGTCGGCGGCCGGGCAGTTTCCTTGTACAGGCTGCTGGGCAAAGGCAGCTCCGGAAGGTCCGTTAACCGCTCGGTGATGACGATCGCAGCACCCGGCGCTATACGCCCGGATGATGATGCTGAGTATGAGGTAGTCGCATTTTCCCCGGACACACCCGACATGAGGCGCACAACAAAATATATACGGGTTTTGTTGCCGCAACCTGCTGTCCAAACAGTTTCGGATATCACCAACAGATTTTACTATGGAATGTAGCTGTACCATCGAGTATTGAAACTACGCTTGTCCTGATAATATTCACGCTTGGATCAACAGTGCACGAGTGCACGACGACGATTTACGAAATCGGCCTCGTCGGCTTGTTTTAGATCGTGTAACACTACTGTGTAATTTGTCCTATTTAACGCATACTTTAATCTTTTGTTGTTTTCTGTTTGTATAGAAGGCTCCCAACTTAGGTTCTCTGACGCCAGTCTTTTTTTCCACATTCCGAGGCATAGCTGTAAAGTCCTTGTACTAAGCATTGATGTCGAACAAATGGTGGGAACAAACCAGGACGACGACGGGTAGGGCACATCTGCTTCCCTTGGAAGGGTGGCTATAAACCTTATGGAGCGCGGGCCCTTTACCGCAGGACGTGGGATATTTAGCCAATACAACCCCGACTCCATCAAGGAATGGGTAGAACGCGAACGGAAGTAAGAAGATGTTCGAAGGAATCCGTAGCAGCGCTCAAGCTTACATGAAAACTGTGCGCATATGCGTGTGCAGATTACCACGTCAACCTCCTGGTCCTCCTCCAAGCCTTCAGGAACTTCGTTTGCTGCAAAAGCCACCTCCTACCCCCGACGGGTGGGTTCTGCGCGGGAAAGTTTTTCAATCCCAGTGGCTGGTGTTGCACACCTGTGGTGGGAAGAAGTTCTCTCTTTGTATTCACACGGCGACGCATGATTGCCCGGGAACTTACGCCTCGTGTTAGGTAGCTCGCTCCTTGTTAGTTGCACCTGCGGGTACTGAACCAGTTATTAACCAACTTCCCCTTCTGTGAATACAGTTTCAGGACCAGTGAACCGCGACCGACCACCGCGTCTGTTGAACAGCCCTTCCAGTCGCCAACGCTGCCTCAATACTCCCATCACCATCACTTCGGTACGGTTCGGGGTTCCAGCCGACGACACCTGGGTTCGGGAATGGAATTTTGCGAATGGTTACTTGCAAAACTAAGCTGCATAACAATTAGGGTGCTTAAGTCCACGTCTACACCTTGGCCCGCAGACCTTGCACGTTAACCTAACCCAAAAACGCTGTATGCTCCCTCCCTTCGAAGCCCTCTGGTGGTAAACATCCCCCCCAACACAAATAGGATCTTTTGTCCTTTTTTCAGCACATCAAACAGGTACCAAACTGGAAACAGCGGTAGTAGGGCTAGCGCAAAGCCATTTTAAGCCGCTAAGTTACTTATTCCCCAACGCCGCGTGTTCCTGGGGCTATACGGCTTCCTTTCCCCTGCTTGATCAAAGCATAACAACACCGGCAAGAGTGGGCAGTCGCGGATGGGGAGAACAACGCCCTAGCCTTCCCATGTTCAACTGTCATTTCTCCATGTTATCTTTTTTTCCTGACGGAGTTCCTGTCTGGCCATGTCTTACACCACAGGCTGGTTGCCGCCCTCACCGGAGCGGCGAATCGGGGGCAGCTTCACTGATCGCCGACCTGCCGACTCTGGGCATGCCTACTCGTACGGCATCGCCAACGGTCACAACCAACGCATCCACAACACGCATGTCTTAATCTCGACGCGGAAACCATAATGGATGCATGACGTGGGACGCATGACGTGGACGAGCATTGGTTACCGCGTTGCATTGATGTGAACCTGTGAACTGTGCACACCGTGTAATGGCTGACGCGCAAGAGTGGCAGTTTTGGGGTTTTAAGTTTGCTGGGGGGGTAAATCTTCCCCCCGCGTGCATTTGCAAATGCATGGTGAGATTCGGCTTTGCTCGGCTATGTGGTATAAGTGAAGTGTATACCGTAAAACGCTATAGGCGTTATTTCGTAGGGCTCCAGGTTCCAGGATGTGTCGTACCTTCTGTTGATCCTTGAAGTAGTCAGAAGAGAAATGATTGGACAGTAGCCAGGGGCAGCAGGAAATGCCGTACACCATTTGCAGTAATCGCTTTGACTTGCAACATTCATCTATATCATATTGCTCGGAGGAGATAGACGCTCCTGTGTCGGCGTAGCTTATATTGCTTACTTGTGTGCTTATACAGCTAATAGCTTGATTAGGATGTATGAATGGAGTCACCTGTTAGACCGGTGGCTGTTGTCGGCCGTGAGTCGGAGCCCGTGGCTGCCGTACCAAGCAAGATCCAAGGAAATTTCATTGCCGTACCGTTAGCATTCGCACGCCCGGCTCTTACCCTATACTAGGGGAATTTAGGCTATATCTGAATGTATTGGGTCCATCAGGGGCGTCTCCGGCGTCATTACATTTCATAATCACCGGTACTGGGCACCATTCTTTTCCTGATGTGATTTTTGCAGGATTGTACACGTAGGAGGGGGCATTGGCGCATGGTAGGCAAAGTTGCAGTTGCCTATTCGGAACCCCAGCAGGTGCTTGATGCTTGACGGCAGCAGTGGAATTGCGCACTGTTGGCTCAAGGCGTGTGCGTGTATCTGATAAGATGATAGTTTTACTGTTTACCAAACTGCGTGTGTACTCATGTTTTATTGCGGGGATTCCGTTCAGCTTTCTAATTGATGTGGGTTGTGGTTCTAGCGAGCGTGGTGTCGTACCGTACTGAGCGATCTGCGCGGATCAGGATGTGAGGGGGGAGAGCATTGTTGGTTGGCAAGAGGAGTGTTGACAGTGGGTTAACAGTCAAGAATCCCGTATATGTTGTTAAAGGAAGTTATTTGTTCGGTCTAGGCAGCGTGTCTACATCCAACCTTTTACTTCTTATGTATCATGTGAGAACTCTGGTAAGCGACATGATGACAGCGATTGAAGGCTGACCGAAGTAAGCTTACATCGCAAAACACACACAAAAACTTTTGCATTCAATCAACCAACCCTGTTCCCACGATCAATGCTTGCCAAGCCGGAGGATCCGAGCCAAGGATCCGTCCTTCCCAACGTACTCCCTCATTGCAACCCCTGCACTGTTGCCGCTTCTGCTGCTGCCGCCACCGAGAGCACACGCAGCCGCCAGTTCTGAACAAGCGTCGTCGGAACAAAGTCCACACCTACCTGCTCCAAAGGGTCCCCGAAAAATAGCAACACCTTGTCTGTAAAGCTCTTCGGACCTTGCCACTCATCCTGATAGAAAAATTCATCGCACTCGACTGCCGCCAAGCAACTCCCCCCTAACCCCAGGCCCCTTTGGACAGTAGGAACATCCAAAAACTGCAGTTCCGAAGGCTGTGGTGCAGGTACTGCTGCTCCTGATGATGATGCAGGTGCTAATGATGGTGCAGCTACTGCTGATGATGTAGACGCTAATGATGGCGGTAACGATGATGATGATGATGATGATGTCAGCAGTGGCTGGCGTCGTGCGGCGGCGGCGACGGCGGCGGCGTCCTCTTCGCAGCAGCCCCGCCGCAGCACCTGCTGCCGCTCCAACAGCAACGACGACAAGCAGCGCGATACCGTGCGAGGCCATGCACCACCCTCCTCCGAGCGCAGCGCAACACTGCCGAGGATATCCGCAGGCCGATGCAGTTTCACCTGAAACAAGAACTCGCATCCGGCTTGGACCCTACCAGCCCCGGCCCCAGCCCCAGGCCCAGGCCCAACCCCAACCTCAGAAGAAACGCCCTCAGCGACACCCTGTGTATCTGTGCCTCCACCACCTCCCTGCTGCTGCTGCTGCTGCTGCCAGGGCTGCTCCGCTTCCTCCTCGTCGCCAGTCGCGACGGCCCCGTCCAACTCCATGACGGTCGGCTGGCTGACCATCCAGTCCTGCGGCCAGGAACCCGGATGGCTACCGAGGACTAGCTGATAGCGGCAGATGTAACCACCGGCAAGAAGGAGCTCCAGGAAGGGCAGCACCACGCTGCGGACCAGAACGGCCTCTGTAATGTGCGGGTCGGGGGTGTGGAGGATGTAATTGTAATGTTACAGAGTGGGAGGCTTCTGGGCCGCTTTATCACATTGTCAGTTCTACGATCATTTATCACCTTATAGCACCATCCACCACTACCACACTGTACTTCGCCATACGTAAGTCCAAGGCGGCGGATCCAGCCTTCAGGGACCCCTCCTCATCCATTCACCCGAACACCCGAAGAGACGGGGGGTTCGGCAATCGCCACCAATCCAGCGTGCGAATCTGGTCCATCAACTGTGACCTCAACTCCACATCTCAGCAGCTAGCCATAATCTCGCGCTCCCGACTACTTCGGGGGTCTCCCCGGGAATCGAACCCAGGACCTTAAACCGCTAATTACAGTAGTGTCAACCCAGACCAGAGGATGTGGCACCGGTGTATGGGGGGACTGTTGGTGTGTGTGAGGTAATGGGGTAATGAGGTAATGGGGTGAGATTATGTTAAAAAATAGGCCTCGAGGTTCAAAGGGAGCTGGGAGAGGCAGCAGGTGTGGGACGGGAGGCAAGCAGGGCGAGGGGGCCAGACAGGTAGGTGTTGCTATCCTATCCTAGAGATAATCTGATGGTGGGCAAAGCAAGGACAGGGTTAGACGTGCATGTATGTTTGCGTGTGCGGCCGTTAAGACAGCCTCCCCAGCAGACCCACCAGGTGCTTTTGCTGCTGCTGCTGCTGTTGCTGTTACTGCTACTGGTGCCACTGCCTCAGCCACCTGGCTGTCAGAGAGCCCATCTTGCGGCAGCGACGCCCCCACTGCATCCGACCCGGGTTCAAATCCCACTCTGCTCAGATTCTGCAGGAACTCCTTCGCCGCCTCCGTCGCAAAAGCCTCCCGATCCTCCGCGGCCGTTACGTGCCGGTAAACCACCTTCCAGAGGCAGTAGTGGATGAAATTGAAGTAGGCGCGGTTTGAGAGACCTCCGGTGTTGTCAGCGAGATCCGGGATGCGTGGCAGCTGCGCACGGTTGGCCTCCGCGTAATACCTGCCGTGGAGTACGGCACGGTATCCGTTAGACCGTTAGGAGTTGGTTGGTTTCGGCATGTCTCGGCGTCCTTAGAAGCCCCGGAAAAAACGTTAGGCATGTGGATGGTTGGGAGTTGGTTGATTATGACACGTGCCATAACCGCCAAGACGCGAATTTTATCCAAACAGGCGGTGAAAACGGACTACGAGGACTTCACAATACAATCCTTACTTGTACTCGCGTTCACGAAGCTTGAAGTTCTCCCGCTGGAAATCCTCCTCGTCCATTACCTGTACGGCAACGCACGAGCAGGCGTGGCCAATACTAAAACGCGTAGAAAGGCCAATACTAAAACGCGTAGAAAGGCCAATACTAAAACGCGTAGAAAGGCCAATACTAAAACACGAGCTGCTTCATGAATGGACGCGGTGCGCATTGAGCTTGACCAAAATGACGATTATCATACACCATCGTTTCAGACCCCTCCCGGCTCAGATCAAACACCACGCGATGCTCAGATCACGCGAGGCTCAGATCATTAAAACGCACACAAGAGTTGCAGCCCGCACTTCCTATGGGCTCTGCCAGCAAGCAGTGTGTCGTACCTGGGTAGCAACCCTCCCCCCCGCCCTTACCCCCAATACACCGTCGAAACAGACAGACAAACAGACAGACAGACATAAATCACCTGGAGATGTACCACGGACGAATACACGGCACGGGTGAGGGCCGCCGCCAGCTGGCCGGCCAAGGGACCGCTGCAGGGCGGCAACGGCAGCGGCTGCTGTGGCCGAGCCCGCGCCTGTTCACAGCCGAATGGTAGGACGCCTGAAGTGGCAAAGAAGAAAACATTCCCCAGGTGCGAAGTAGGGCTGGTGGTTACAATATATCCAATTGGCCAGGAAGAGTTTACTTTCGGGAGAAAAAAAGCGTCTGGAAAGTGAAAAACCCGAAAAATTTGGCTCTGATGGGTCAGAATTCAAGCCCGGCCTTGGTACTGCGGAGGTCGTTAAGCACGGCATGAGCATGGAGCGAGCCAGCCAACAGGCTGTTTCGGGGGGATGTCGGTAAAGCAGTAAACTAAGCGCTGCTGCAGCTATGTACGACCAAGTAGTTGCCGTACGGTTGGGACAGAGATCCGAGGATATGCGTGAATAGCCCGCAGTGAAAATTGGGGACGAGCTAGGCACTGAGTAGTACTTGTTCGAATTATTGTGAAAATTGTGGATCTGAGATCCCGTAGGTAGGATTTCGTTGTCCAGCGGTGCGTTGGCGAGTTTTGCGGCTGCGGATTTCTTTCCTGCTGTGCCAAATTGTGGACATGGGCCTCCGCTTACATGCCATGCAATGTTGCTTATGCTCAGACCCGTCCTTGTTGTTGCTCACCCACCGTATCCGCCCAACACTGCGGCGCTGGCCGCCAGAAGCGACCCGCCCATGACTCGCCGCGTGACTCGTGCCGGAGAAAGAGCTTGTCCGCTGGGTTCTTTTTTGTTCTGCCTCCCTATGCCGCTTGTGATTCCTGACTCCGTCCCGGAGCTCGTCAGGGTATCCTCTGAATTCCCAGCCACGTTTCGGACAGCTAGCTGAAAGTTTGGCTCCCGGAGTCGTCGCACAAACCGCGATCTGGGCGTTACACTTTTTTTTCGGAGTGTACTTGCGGAATGCGCCTTCCGCAGCACGGACATTGCAAGGTTTAGTCCAGATTCAGCATTCCAGCGCGTTTTCGATGACAACATCCTTCTGCAGTAAAAGGCTCCACCTAGGGTAGTCTACTCGCTACGATACGGTCCCGGCCCGGTAAACGAACAACGAATCCTAAGGTAACTTGCCGCAAAACCGTAGCACAAATGCTTTATTCTAGGTATGGTTGTTAAAAGGGATTCAAGGATAGGAAACTTCGCATTTTCAGAGCAAAACACGTAATCACCTCTTGCAAATCAAGTTTTCCACATCTTAAAGCATTTCAGTTAACATAAACATAAACGTCAAATAAAAATGGACACTACACCTTAACAAAGTCCTTGCATTGTGCTTACTGCCGTACACATTAAAGAGTGCTGGGGAAAAATTTGCTCCGTCGCTGTCACACGTATTGACGAACCCCCACACGAACGAGAACGTACAAGGCTAAATGGCCGTTGAGATTAGCCAAGGTGTTTGCGACCTATGCGGAGCGCCTTCAGACGCAAGCCTGCAAGAATGCAACTGGCTGACATGTACATATCAGCACTGCGAAGGCGGACTTTATCATCAAGAATGTTTGGAAAAGTATTTGAAGTCCAACAAGCTGGAAAAGTGGGTTGTTGCGGCGCGAATGTTTTGCACAATAGGTTGTGTTGCCAAAACGTAGCCCCTTGGTCTCGCAGGAATCGCAAAACTGGTTTCAAATGCCCCCGGGGTTGTGGAAAGGGGACGCGGTTCGACCAGGCTTGCCCGGGACGGGTAAGCCCTTGAGGATCTGCATGGCTTTGCCGGTGCTGGTTGATATGTACTAACTATGTTAAACGTTACTCCTTTAGATCGACAAATCTCATCCTATACATCCACGCAACGAGGACAAGAAGAAAACAAAGCTTGCGGTACGCTCGTGTGCTACGTTGCTGCCATTGTTGCACATATTGAGCCCTAACCCGCCGATCAACAGGCAGTTGTCGTGGAGCCTCAGCGTCCCGCCAAGCCATCTGCGCCCCCAGCGCAAAATGGAAAAGCTGCAAAAACAAAGGAAGAAAGCAAGGCGGACGCTCCCAAAGACTCCAAAAGTGCAGCGCTCATAAAGTGAGTCCGTTCTATGCTGTGCTCTGGTGATCGCGTGGTGAACGATGCGGATAGAGGAGGCCCCGAACTTACCTCTTGAACGGTGCTTCGTTGGCCTTCCCCCTGCAGACCGGCGCCAACCGCCAAGCCAGCTGCGGCTATTGCTGCGACGCCATCCGCAACGGCCACAGGGCAAAAAGCGGTGCGCAAGGAGATACCGGCGCTACCGCCGCGCCCGGAGGTCGTAACCAAGCAGAAACTGGTAGAGCTAGCGGCACAGGCGCGGCGCGAGCTTGGGCTATCCGCGCCGAGCACCTCTCTGGCGAGTCACGGCTCTAAGGGGGACCTCCAGGGGCTCGTGAGCTCGTCGGCCGGGCCATCCAAACCAGCCGGCACGACTGCCGCATCGGCATGGGGTAAACCTTCGGGACCATCTGCAGAGCCCGCGGGCCTCAGTCCTCAGCCAACCATGATGTTGCAGTTGCCACAGCTTCAACAATTGCTTCAACAAGCAACAGTGGGAAAGAAGCAGACAGCAAAAACAACGCCGGTTGCGGCAGCGAGCGCACCGACGCAAGCAGCACCGAAAGCGGCACCACCGGTGCCCCAGCCTGTTACTCCCCCCCCACCCGTATGGCCAGCACTAGGGACGGCGCAGTCGTCAGCAGCAGCCCTGTTCTCCTCCTCCTCTGTACCATCCACGCAAGTCGCTTCCCGGGAACTAACACCCCGGCCAGGGTCCCCCCCATCCGCCTGGGGGTCAACCTTAGCAACGGCCTCCTCTTCCGCACAGCAGCAGCAGTCATCCATGCAACATCCACAGCAGGCTGCCACATCTGCCGCATCCTCATTGAACTCCACAGCATCAGGGTCACGTTTGCACACCCCGGGTTCGTCCTCCGCTGCCGCCGCCACCACCGCGACAGCGGCGTTGGTCGGACCTTCCACGTCAGGGTCCAGCACCCCGGCTGCGCAAGGGCCGTCCTCTGTCGCGTCGGTCGTGCCATCAGCACCTGCATCAGCAGCGGCGGTGGTGGCGTGTGCATCCGGGCCAGGCTCCGGGCAGCAAGGGTCCATACCTGAGGCAGCAGTGGGGAGTTTTTCAGGGGCAGCGGGCAACAGCAGCAGCGGAAACCTGCGGGCAAGCTTGAGTGCATTAGAGCCGCATCCGGGGTCGGCGGGTGCGTCAGCGGCACCGTCGGTTGTTGGTCCGTCGCCGTCCGCACGAGCCGGGTCGCAACTTGTGGGTGCGGACTTCATTGATGAAGAAGCCAAGGAACCGAAGCTCACAAAGGCTCAAAAGAAGAATTTCAAGCGTGCGGAGAAAAAGAAGTTGCCGCTGAGCGCGTCCGTGGACCTGCAGCCCGGCGGTTTTGGGGAGATGATTGCGCAGGAGGCGTCTGAGGGCCTCCTGAGATCATCCATCGACTGTGGCGCGATTGGCATTGGTAGTGACAGGGGTAACGGCTCCCGGCTTACATCAGGGGCCGCGGCGGGCTGCCGCACCGGTAGCAGCCGGCTGGCCGACACGGGTGCGCCATCCACTAGCGGTCGCGGTGCCGTCGGAGGCAGCAGCAGCGGTGGGCATGAGCGGCAAGCGTCCCACGGGTCCGAAGACCCCGAGCAGTCGCACATCACTGAGGGGGAGGCGGCCGCCGTCATGGAGGAGCTCTGCATTAATTGCATCGTCGCGCGCAAGGTCCTGTCGCTCATAACCCAGTTGCAGCGCTTGGGCGCGTTGGAGTATGTGGCGGCGGCGGCGGTTCAGCGCCACGGCAGCAATCTGCTAGCCGCGCTGGAGTGGCTCCTAGTTGCGGGTGGGGACGCAGCTAATGCGCCGCCGGGCGTGGTGCTGGCCGCGGCGGCGGAAAGCGCCTCCGCGGCGGAATCGGAGATTGACATCTCTGAGGAGCTGGAGCAGCTGCACGACCTGCAAGCCGCCATGGGTGTCCCGACTGAGCTCCTGCAACAATGCGTCGTGGACTGCAACGGCGACGTGCAAACCGCAGCGAACACCGCAATGGAGCGAATGCTGTCGGCGCCCGCGGCCGCAAGTTCCGGAGCAGCACTAGCCACCACCTCCGCTGCCGCCGGCGGCTCAACGGCAGGCGCAATGACGGGAAGCTCGCGCGGCGGCGCTGCCGCGCCTCGCGTGAGCAACGGCAGTAGCAGCCTGCTCGGTGGCGGGCAAGGGAACGGCCTTGGTCTGCACGGCTCCGCATCATTCTACTCCATCAGCTCGCTAGACGGTGCTGGAAGCCTTCCGGACGGCGAGGTTGCCACGCTCAAGCAGCAGCAGCAGCAGGGGCTGGTGTCCTTAAAGCCGACGCCTCAGCAACAACCGCAGCAGCAGCAGCAAGCACGGAGCAGCCATTTTGGCGTTCGGCTACAGGACCCGCCGGAGACGGAGTGCAGCGCAAGCGCCAGCGGTGGGTACGGTGTGGGGGACACGGTCACGGAGGGATTTCTGCGGGGAGGTGTGGTGTTGGGCGCGTCGGGTTGGCCGAACGGCTACCTGCGGGAATCAGCACCGCCGGGGTTCGGTTCCGGAGCTGGAGCGGGTTCTGGCCCCGGTGCAGGCGCCGTTGGCCGCAGCACCAGCCGATTGCTGCACTGGCTCCGCGACGAGCCGGGGCGAGCGGCTGCGCTTGAAGAGGAGGAGGAGGACGCGGCGGCGGCGGCGGCCTCAGGTCTGGCGAGCAGGAGCGGTGCTCCGGAGCTGTTCGCATGCGACCCGGTCGTCAACTCGCCCTTCTCAGCCGCGCACGGCGGCGGTGCGACGCGCGTTCGGGGCCCGTCAGCAGACAGCGTCACATCACCCTCGCTCGCGTATTGGCTGGGCGGCAACGGCTACCATCGTAGTACCGCCGGGTCTGTAGGTCCGATAGGTCCCGGCAGCTCCGCTGGCGTGTCGGGTGGCGGCGGGATAACCACTACTGGCGGCGGCGCGCTGGACCCGTACAACGGCGGCGGCGGCGGCGGTGCCAGTCATGGCAACTTCTCTTTCATGTCTTCGCTCAGCAAACCGCCGTCTGCGAGCCCCCAGGGCGGTGTCCTTGACCTGCTGGGAGGAGAGGGGTACCAGAGCAGGTGGATGAGCCTGGGCACCTTGGCAGCCCACTCGCGGCAAGACCACCCGTCAAATCCTGCGCTGCTATTTGGCGGCGCCACGACGACGACGACGACGACGGGGGGTCCCCCGCGGGAGCTGGCGGAGCAACAGATGCCTCACTCCACCGAGGGCGAAAACGACCTGAGCGCGATTATGGCCCTCATCAACGTCCGCTGACACCGCCGTACTGCCTGCTCGACCTTCTGCCGATGCTGCCGGTGACGCCTACGCCTAACCCAAAACTAAGCGTGGTGTGTGTATATGTGTGTTGTGTGTGTGTGTGTGTGTGCCCGCTGACTGCGCTGTATTCCCGACAGTTTTCAATGGCTGACCTGTTACCGTAGCCTGGGAAGACGTGTCGACATGCGTGGCCACACCCTCCTTGGCGGAGCGAAGTGACCCTTGGGCCCCTTTGTGTTGCTCTAAAAAACGAGCGCCGTGTGCGTTTTGTTGTTTGTTGGCAATTTTTCGTGTGTTTCCTCCTGCTCTGTGTGTATGCGTTCCCCTGTGTACGCGCAATGATCTAATCGTGTTAACAGTGAGAGAGCGGCTCTCTCGCCGCTTCCATTTTGTGTGCGAGGATGTGTCCCTTCCGCCCCAGAGCATTGCTGGGCGCGCAAGAGCCTGGGCGCGGCTTTCGCCTTGACAATTGCTGTTGTAGTGCGGTTGTGTGCGTGGATGTGTGTTGTGTGTTGGGATTCGAACAGGGAACCAGTCGTGCCTTGGGAACATGTGGACGGAGAGCTCCTAGTGTGGCAGTCAGACAGGTAATAGTTGGAGCGCATTCAGGGCATATCCGAATACTCAGCTCCGCTTTTAAGGTGCAGGCTCGGGAGGCCCGGCGTATGGCTAAATGCGACAGGTGGCGGCTTTAGCGCAGGATGCGTGCGTTGTGTGTGTTGCTGCGGCGTGAAAAAAAGGTTGTTCTCTACTGTTAGCGCCAGCTGAGGGCGCGTGGAAATCGTTTCAAGCCTGGCAATTTTCAAGAGCGAAGTGCAGCCAAGGACCCGGGCTGTCCATGCCCTGATACGATATGATGATACGGGTTGAGCAGAAGTTGAGCGTGGCGCGTATGTACGTATGTATGCTCCGGCATCTTGTCTTTGTGTGAGTTTCGCATGTTTTGGCAGACTTCCTTCCGGATCGAACAAAAAAGAGATGCGGCAGCGGCAGCTGCCGAAGGCAATATAGCTGAGGGTGCGGTTTACCTGTCGTCCTGGAAGGGAGGCGGGTGAACCTGAACTGAGAAGACTTTCCTGCTGTGCAAGGGCTTATTCGTCTCGACGTTGGACGAGTCACAACAAACCGTCGGACGTGGGACATGAATACTGCCAATCTTGTCACAAGGAATCTACAAACGTGCACAGCACGATCCCCGCTGCAAGGAAAATTCATTATGTACCCCATGCCGCCGTTTGGCATTCTCCAGCTGAATTACTACAGACATGCACATATAAATACCACAAGAAGATATTATTTTAATTGTCGGAACAGTCAGTCAGCAGGTATAATTAGCGTTTACCATCTCACACGTTGTTGATCACTAACGCTCAACTACACCTAACTCGCTCAACTAAAACTAACTCGCTCAAAGTACTTCCAAAACTGCGAAACTATCCCTACTGCCCTGGATATGGCAATCAGCCGCGTCGCACAGCGTTCCGCTCACTTTGCCACCACCTCTTCGCACACATTTGCCAACCGTGGCGGCAGTTGCCGACTGAGGGGCAAAGCCATGTCTCCTTGTTAACCACCCATCATCCTAATGATGCTCATGATCGTCAGAGCAAAAGGTGGCTAGCACCTGGATATGGTTGCAGTTCATCGCTGCAAAAGGTGAGTCTTAAGTCTTGAGTAGACAATTTCCGGCGTGTTCGTGCATCACCTGCCCGCTGCTTTCGCAGTGCGCGCCGCGACAGCCTCTTCGTACAGTGACGCCTGCTTGGCTGTCGCCCTCACAGCAGCAGCCTGCCAGCGCGGCGGCGGTCTGCTGAGCAGCTCCGAAAGCACCGTCTTGCTCTCCTTCTGCACGTCCGTACAACATCAAACGGCTAAAGCAGCAGGAGGCTACGGACACGCGGTTACGGAGCCGGTGACTAAAGGCCGGCCCCAGCTGGGTACACTCCCTTTTCCAACATTCGGTCCGGGGGCATACAGAAAGAGGTAAATCAACAAACTTATTGTGTACGAATGTGATATCGAGTTTATGACCGCCCTAGCGCCCTTCTGAGGCAAGCCGAAGTGCCATTCCCTCCTACGTCACACCACATCACACCACATGCTCTCATACCACATGCATTCGTTCTTTGATCTCGCTGCGTTTTCGCTCTTGCACTCACTGGGAGAGGCTGTACCCAGTTCGAAGACACCAAGGTGGCATCAAACCGCGTGCGAACCCAAGGAGAGCGGCTTTTTTGGTAACATTGTCGTCAGGTGATTCTTATCCTAAAGTACCCTTCACAAACCGTCCAACAAGAATTTGGAAAAAGAGCCGACCCAAATCCGAAACCCGGTTGGACCGAGTACAATCATAACCACCGTCATCATCTACAACCGATCCAGGTTCGATACCTACCACTGTCTTGCTAAGCATGACGGCCTTGAGCGCCATTCGCTCCTCTCCGCTAAGGTCCGCATGTGTGCCCATCCTCCGCAATCGTTGCTGCCGTGCCTCGTACATGATAAGCGCGGACGCTACGGATATGTTGAAGGATTCCACCATGCCGGTCATGGGGATGATGGCGCACGCGTCCGCCGCTGCTACCGCCTCCTCGCTCACACCAAACTTTTCATTCCCCAGGATGAACGCCGTGGGACGAGTCCAGTCCACCTCCTCTATCGTTATGGCGCTCTGAGAGAGATGCGTCGTGATGATTTGGTAACCTGCGGACCGCACTGCAGCCAGGCACTCAGCAGTGCTGTCCCACATCTTCACGTCCTGTGCGGGGGCGATGACGACAGTGCGGCCGGCGGACACCAAAGGCAGCGGAATTTAGCGGAACAGGGGGACAGCACCACATTACGCAGTTGTACAAGTTACAAGTTACAGGTGCCGCACGTTACAAGTGCGAGGGGGGGGGATCCATCAATACCGTCATCATACGTAGTTGTATGAGAGGCTGACAGGAGCCGACAGGAGCCGATAGGAGCCGACAGGAGCTGCCACTGGCTGGCGGCAAAAGGACTCCGGGAGGCGGGCAGGGCCAGACAGAGGCCCTTAGGCCCTAGGCCCCTAATAACACTGTGAGAGCCCCCAGCCAGCTACTTCCAGCTGCTCAGCAGCAGAACCACAGACCCACGGGGCACGGGATCCTCTGGCTCACCAGCCACTTATCCGCCCCCGCAGCTGTGCGTTGCGACACCTTGTACTTGACGTCCCTACCAGCGCAGGAGCGATGGGCGGCGGTTAACGGGAACGGGGGGTTAATCAAAGGGAAAACACAAACGAGCCCAAATGCTAAATCTGCTGAGCCCCGGGTTGAATTGGGCCGACCCCTGGCTTGAAACTAGGTGCAGTATCAAATGGGGCAGCTTGAATCGCTGGCTGGGTCGATTAGCCAAGAGGCTGAAATGAGAGCACTCCTGAGCGCGTTGCTGCATTGCGAAACTGTGGTTACGCCATAGCTAAGAAAAACTTCGCCTTGTAGTTGTAAAAGTCGTAAAGTTTGACATCGAGACGTGGGTACCCAGCAGCTCCCCACCCACACCTTCGCCTGTGCGGCCAGATATGCAGCCTGTGCCGCAGAGACGAAGAGGACCCTTTTAATCCTTAAGACGCCCCACAACATTCTTAAGACTTCTTCAGACGCCTTTTTAGCCTAGAGTAGATTGGGTGAAGAAGGCGAAACCCGACCTACCCCCTGTTGATGCAGTGTACGGCGCCATAGCCCAAAGCTACGCAAGCAACAACGTAAAGGAACGGTCAGCACACAAAAGGCGACTGCTCCTGGACTTGTTTGTTTAGCAGTCCAGGTATAGCTGCAGCCAGGCATGCGCCCTCACCATCCGCTGTACGACAAACTGCCGCCAGGTTACCCATGTCGTACAGACCTGTACATACAAGCAGTACATTCCGGTGGTGGGTGTGGAGTTGAAGGTGAAACGGTGAGATTTTACGAAGGAAAAAGCTTTTGGAAAAACGGAGCCTGATAGCAAATACCCAAATGTACGAACGCTCCACAAGTCTTGTCTGGCTGTACGGCGTGCAAAAAAACAACAGGCCACGCGTGAAAAACGTTACATCCTCCTCCCCTTCTTCCCCCTTACCCTCAACGATTGGTAGCACTGAAAACGTGCGATTTTGGACAACGCTCTCAATCCTTTGAACACGTTCTTCCAAAGCAAAGGGCGCTAAAAGTCTCACGACGGTGGCCGCATCGACAACCTTGCCGTCTTCAAGAACAAATTCATTCGAGTAGGGAAAGCCCACATCCTGTGTTGAAACTGGCTGTAGGGACCTATGGCGGCTCCCTAGGGCGATGTGTGTGCAGGATTGCTGCCGCCGGAATAACGATTGGCCATGGATGCATCTTCGGGAGGATAAATCTCTGGTATTCATCTTTTTAATAATCTACAGTCCTTTTGAACCAATCCGTCCGAAGCGACTGCTAAAATTGATAGATGACGGCTCAATGAAAGCATGCTGACATATATCAGGCGCTATAGTTTGCAAGTCTGTGCGCTTTGCGGGAATTTGCACTATTACACAAGAATGCTACAAAGTGCCAGGGAGTACGACGCGTTAACCGTCTCGTCAGCTCTTGAAACGCAAAAAGGCTAGCTCTTCTATTTATTAACTTCCACGTTTTACTCTGTACCTTGAAATTTATGTCAAACATTATTAGTGCGCAAAAGCTTTCGGCTGTGCCACTTAGATAGGTTGCCGCACAAGCGACTCTTCAACGCCTAACAAATTCGAGTTGAAAATATCAGTCTGTCATATTTTCTCAAGAAACGTTTTGAGCATTGTGTCAAACAGTCAGATGGCTTAGCGGCTACGGTGATTCTGAAGGACTAAGAAAGAAGGAGCCATCTGCTGCAAGTGGCTAGTGACTATCGTTTATTTGAACAAACAACTTTAGCACTGAGTCGCCGGTCAGGCGTCTATCCACATGAACCGCAAGACATGGAATGCTAATCCCAGCAGGGACCTAAGCTACACGAGTCTTGTGATAGATGAGCAGGTAATGACGAATATGGTATTGGCTGCGGGGCACCAACGACCCGCTTGTCCCACCTGATTGGCTCTGCCTCGCTATCCATACTACTGCTGCTGACTGCCCGCCTGTCCGTTCCCCTCAGAACCGCTCCCAACATTCGCACAAGATCACTGATTCGGCCCGCTTCCACGCCAGACCCGTCAACGGCAATATAGCAACAGTAGTCCCGAACATCGAGGAGGATGGCGTGCGTGACTCACTCCCCAAGTTCCTACGGTGAGTTAACGCACGCCAAGAAGTATGTGCCCTTAAGAACAAGGACAACAACATCAAAAACAACTATAACTACAACTACCTAAGGAATGCCAGCTCCTCAGCTTTTCCCACCATCCCGACCACGCACCTCACCCCCCGTCCCCGCATTAACGATGTACTCCCCCCTCCCTCCCGCGCCAGCCTCCCCCACCATTCACACCTCCCCCATCCAGCCACCTCAAACCCGACTCCAGCCCCGCAACAGCCCCCCGCCCAGGCTGCAGGCAATATGGCCCCCATCTCCCACCACCACGATTGCAAAAACATCAAAACTAGTAGCACCAGTACCAGTACCATCACCTATCAATCCCATTGTTGACCCTCAACCCTGAGCCCACCTAAACCCGCGCACATGATTGCTTAATCGCTTAAATCCCCGCCTTCCGCCATTTTTATCGCCTCCATCGTACTAGGGTGGACACCGGCACCCGCACCGTGTTTCGGGACTCCTTCTACGCGCCCAAGGAGGGCATTGAGGACTTTGTTGAGGATGACAGGCGCCCCTTCACCTCCATTCGCTCCTTGCCCCACATGGCCCTGAACGAACTCGCATCGGAGGATACCCGCATTCGGAAACTGGTGCGCGTGTGTGTCTGTGTGTCTGCATGTGTGTGTGTGTTTTGGGGCGGTCGGGGAAATGGGGGGAGAGGGGGAAGGGAAATCTTATGCAATAAGCAAAGGGTTGCTGCCTAAGCCAGAGGGGGGGTGAGGGGCCCGCACGGCGGGTGTGGGTTCAGCTGGCCTCCCGACTTTCATAAACCTCCCACACGCGGTTGGCGCCGCGAGACGCAGACCGATAGACCGACAAACAGACTGACTGACCGGTTCCTAACTGACAATTAGGCAGACAGGCAGACAAACAGATAGACAGACAGATAGACAGACAGGTAGACAGACAGCCAGGCAGACCAGGTTGATGAACCAAGGGACTGAGTGGCGTCCGAGCCCCTCGTTCGTCGTTTTGATCTGAGTAGGACTTGATCGTCACCTGGTTGGACCTGTGCTCTAAGGAGACCCTTTGCCCGCGTGCATGAAGAAAATTAACGGAAACAGATAAATGGATAGATGGATAGATAGATAGATAGATAGATAGATAGATAGATAGATAGATAGATAGATAGATAGCAATATTCGAGAGAACAGCTTGGCCTTGTGCGCTTTGTAGTGAGTAAAACCGTGTTGTACGGTATTATGCGCATTTACCTAGCGCCCTGCCCCCTCCGCCTCTCTCCTGTACACAAACCAACACGTGTTGCAGAAACCGCCGTACGAACACGTCTTGGGTCCTGGTTCGTACAACTCCGATCCTCTGGGTGAGCGGGCCACGGGGCCGCTGACCGTGACTCCAGGGGAGGTCCACCACACAGTGCAGTACGCACGTGACCCTCGGCGGCCCTCGGCCGTATTCTTGTCCCCGATGAGGTGGGTTAGGACGCGTGTCTATATGTATGTATGTACGTATGTATGTACGTACGTATGTATGTTTGTGTGTGCGTGTGTGCGTGTTTATTAGTGACCTGAGCCGCGATTCGAGAACTGCTGATGGTGGTTTTCGCTGGAAGGTGGCTTCACGCGAGCCGGGGGCGAGCCGCGAGTAGGCACCTGCGACGTCGTGCCACATGATTGGACTTCTCCAAAGCAACCGGATAGAGACGTAGCCCTGTAGCCCCCGGTATAGGGTTCATCATCACGTAGATGTTGATAGTAGGAGAGGAGTGATGATGTGTCAGGAGGCCGTGTGTGTGTGTGTGTGTGTGTGTGTGCCGTCCAACCCCCCTCCACACACAACTGTCCACACAACTACCACCCCTTCCCGCCCCATAACGTCCTCACAAACACAATCCCATCGGGCGCCCCACCTCACCCCACCCCACCCCTACCCCACCCCCACCCCAACCTCACCCCTACCCCACCCTAGCCTCACCTCACCCTACCCCACCCCTACCCCACCCCTACCCCACCCCTACCCCACCCCTACCCCACCCCCACCCCAACCTCACCCCTACCCCACCCTAGCCTCACCTCACCCTACCCCACCCCTACCCCACCCGCATCAGAGGTCGCACCGCCACGGAGATTGCCACAGCGGCCGTCTCCCCTCCCATCGTGAGCCGCATGTCCGAGCCCGACTTCACCTACTGGACCAGCAAGGGCTGTTGGGCCCCACGAGAGGAACGAATCATTGAGGCGGACCGCTGGGGCAAGAACGCCAGGGAGGTCAAACCACCCGCGGAGGAGCGACCGCAAAGGTACGTCGTGCGATCGTGCCAGCACGGTTTTAACGGCATCTAACACGGCATCTGATATAGCATCGCGTCGAATCACTCCATCACCACCCTGTTTGGCTGGTTTCGCAGTGTCTACACCCCCCAAGTCACCATCGACGGCCACCCGAACAGCTGCGACGCCTACACCAGCGCCCGGGAGACACCGGCCTACAAGGTGGCCTTCTCCTCGGGGCTGCCCCGGACCTTGGCCCTGCCGCTGGGGCTGAAACCCGATACCCGGCTGCAGGTGGGAGTGTGAGTGTGTATATGTATGTGTGTATGTGTGTATGTATGTGTGTATGTGTGTATGTATGTGTGTATGTATGTGTGTATGTGTGTATGTGTGTGTGTGTGTGCATGGCGCGGCGTGGCGTGGCGTGGCGTGAGGCACGTTGTGAATGTGTGTAAGTGTGTATGTATGTGTGTGCGTGTTTTACTGGTGACCTGAGTCGTGTGGGCAGGAACTGGCTGGAGCCCGGCACACGAGTAACGACTTGGTGGGTGTGTATGTTCTCGCGTGCCTGTCTGCATTCATTCATAGTCGCGCTTGGGTTTCCTCCGTTTTTGGGGGTTCATTTTAAGCCCCCTTGTTGCCCTCGAGCGGCCCTTAGGGGGCTCTGGGGTAACCACCATCGCCAACGGACATCACTAACCCTAAGCCCCATTTCCTCAGCCCACTCCACCTCGCCTGATTCCTGCGCTGGGACCCGATTTTTTTGACCTAACCTGACCTAAGTTGTGACATGAGTTGATTTAACCTGAGCTGAGCTGAGCTGGACGAGGTTGCTCCAGATCTGATCTGACAGCTGAGCTGACGTCACCTCGCCGTGTGACTGGTGGTTGGTGGTTGCAGGTGAAGCGTTACGACGACATCACGGCCGCCAAACCCGATGTGGGGCCAGGTGGGGCCGCTTACTCGGGGGAGACATGACAACATCTGTGTGAATGTATGTATGTATGTATGTATGTATGTATGTATGTATGTATGTATGTATGTATGTATGTATGTGTGGCTAATAAGACATGCGCTGTGCGACAGTGCTTACACGCATGTTGCACCTAGCTGCAGGTGCAGGCAGAGGTCGCACTGCGAATGCCCGCAATCTGGGGGCGCATGTGAGTGTGCGTGTACGTGTGTGCATGTACATGTGTTTTCGTGTGTCGGATCCACCCGGTCCGCTCCCCCCAGACCCATATCGCCCACCCTCTAACCCCCTGGTCTGCCCCGCGCCCTCAACCTCCCCGTTGCGCTTACAGGGTCGTACAATCCCGAGGCGCCGCGGCTGCGCTCCACCAACTCAGCGTACGAAAGTGCGGATCCGTACTACTCCTTGGCGTCGGGCACGCCGCCGCCGCTGGGCTCCAACGATTCCGCCGGCGGGGCCCTCAGCAACACACCGCTAGCGAACCTCCTGCCGCCGCAGCTGCAGCAGCAGCTGGCCGCCGCCGGCACACTGGCGCTGCTCGCGCCGCCGACGTCGTCGGCGCCGAGCACGCCTCACGGCGGCGGCGCGCCGTCACGCCACGGCTTTGCGTCGCTGGCGCCTGGAGGCTCGGCCGCCGGACCACGTTCCGCACCGTCGAGCCCCAGCGCGCAGCGAGC